GAGGGGACGTGTGCCCGTGTGTCCCCTGCCCTGGGCGGGGTGTCTCACCTTCCTTCAGGCTTTGTGGCATCGCTGGCAGCTGAACAATTGGATAGGCTGTTTGGGGCCGCTGCTTTGAGGCTCACTAGAAGATGGTTCCTGGGGCATCTCTGGGGCTACATGGAGTGAAGGGCATCGCCCTGTATGTCCACCAGCTCTATGGATGCCTCCTTCCCCATCAAGGCCACTGGCATTGATGGACCAACTTTTCGTGGTGTCTGCCCTTCTCATCGTTTCCCACTTGCTCTGTGTGTCGTGGGAGGGCACAGGGAGGGGACACCTGCTCAGCACCTGAAGAAGCAGAATCACAGAATGTTTGGAGTTGGAAGGGACCTTAAAGATCATTGAGTTCCAACTCCCCTGCATGGGCAGGGACACCTTCCTCTACAACAGGCTGCTCAGAGCCCCATCCAACCTGCCCTTGAACACCTCCAGGGATGGAGCCCCCACAGCATCTCTGGGCAGACTGTTCCAGTGTCTCACCACCCTACCACCCTTACCCTGCAGAATTTACACCTGATCTCTAACCTAAATCTCTCTTCTTTCAGCTTAAAACCATTACCCCTTGCCCTGTCACTGCAAGCCCCTGTAAAAAGACCCTCCCCAGCTTTCCTGAAGGCCCCCTTCAGGTACTGGAAGGCCACTGTGAGGTCCCCCTAGAGCCTTCTCTTCTTCAGGCTGAACAGCCCCAATTCCCTCAGCCTGTCCTCGTAAGAGAGGAGCTCCAGCCCTTGGGACATTTTCCTGGCCCTTCTCTGGACACATTCCAACAGATCCACACCTTTCTTGTGCTGGGGGCACCAGAGCTGGATGCAGTGTTCTAGGTGAGGTCTCACCAGGGCAGAGTAGAGGGGCAAAATCACCTCTTGATCTTCTGGCCACACTTCTTTTGATACAGCCCAGGATGGAGTTGGCCTTCTGGGCTGCAGCTGCACATTGGTGGCTCATGTCCAGCTTTTGATTCACTTGTACCCCAGGTCCTTTTCCACAGGGCTGTTCTCAAGTGTGACCTCCCCCAGCCTGTATTCATATATTTTATTACCTTGGCCCAGGTGCAGGACCCTGCACTTGGCCTTGCTGAACCTCATGAGGTTCACCTGGGCCCACTTCTTTAGCTTGTCCAGGTCCCTCTGGATGGCATCCCACCCCTCTGGCATATCAACCACACCACCCATCTTGGTGTCATCAGCAAACTTGCTGAGGGTGCTCTCAATACCACTGTCAATATTGTTAGTGAAGATATTAAACAGCAGCACGTGTCACTGTTTTCCATCTGGACTTAGAGCAGTTGACCACTACCCTCTGGACACAACCATCTAGCCAGTTCCTTATCCACTGAACAGTCCACCCATCAAACCCATATCTCTACAATTTAGTGAGAAAGATGTTGTGGGCAACCATTTCAAAGGCCTT